TAGCAGTAGCAGTAGCAGTAGTAATCTACCCATCTCTGAGGAAGTTCTTGCTGCTCAGGGGCGTGAGTTGTTCTTCTGGCCTCCGCCGAGGTAAAGTTGGCCGCCACGTGACAGAGCCCTTGCCGACTCTGCTTCCTGGTAAATCAGGGTTTAGGGTNNGGTTTAAAGGGTTTAGGGTTGAGGGTTCAGGGTTTAGGGTTTAGGGATTGGGGTTTAGGGTTTAGGGATTCCGCTTCTAGGCCTGCCAAGAGGTCAAAGCCTCAAGTGCATACTTGCGAGCTGAACTCGAAGCCCCAAAGCATAAGCTTCAAAGCCTAAGTATAGCTGAGCACACTTGCATCCTAGGGTTGAGGGTTTAGGGTTTAGGGTTGAGGGTGATTAGTACCTATAGCCTTCATTGTACTTCCTTGTTGGTTAACCGATGTTAGCTGTCAAGGTCCTATAGTAAAAGACTGGTTGACCCCAAAAATGAACAAGTAAAAACCCTAAAATCAAAAGTTCCATGTTTCAAGACTTCTCAGTGAAGGAAAACCCTCAACAGTAAGCCGCGGCCATGCAGACTGGAATCTCAACCCAACGCCCGCCCCGAAGCCCTACACTACATCCCGAAAACCAACGCCAAGGCTCACGTCCACTGCGCAATCCTCGATCGCTGGCTTCGAGGTCGCCCTGGACAGTTCCACAAACCGTTAGGGTTTATAATTACCTATACTATTTTGGGGAGTTCCTTAGTATGAGTATAGTATTGTGGGCCCCAAAACCCTAAGTATTCTAATTATTAAGGCTCCTATTAAAGGTTTGGGTGTTGACCAGGAGGTTCCTCCATGCGGGTTGTACGGGGCTTTAGCGGTGTAGAGGTTTAGTATTTTGGGGTTTAGGGCTCTAGGGTGATAGGGGAGGCTCCGAACCTCATGACGAAAATTTCGAATCTCACTCACATGCCTTCCGATGCCAACTCCCTGCAGATTCGCAACCCAGGCAAATCCGGCCTCAGGCCGTTTAAATCCGTAACCTCCCCTGCCACCTTCCTGAATAGTCTGAAACTACCCAGGCAGGGACCCCAGCAGCGCCGAATGAAGGAATAATCCTTACAGCATGGTCCAAAATTCTAGGGTCTTTGACGATTTAAGCTTTGGTCTTAGGTAGTAAAGGTTCCTTATAGGTTCTGCAACGGGGTGTGGGGGTGTAGGTCAAGGTTACAGGATGAGGGGGCTTAAGTTGGGATTATCCCGCGGAGGCCGAAAGCATTCGAGTTGAATCCAAGTACTATAGGGAGTAAATAACTACCTATGTTATTTTGGGGGTTCCTGACTGTAACTATAGTATAAGGGGCCCCAAAAGCATATTCGAATTATTGAAGCCCCTAAATTACCCCCATTCAATCTTTTAGCCTGAAGCCCTAAAACTGAGACCAAAACCCCTTGAGGAGTGAAGGCTCCGGCTTCGTGACACATTTGGTAGCGGATTGGGGTTTAGGGGTTTAGGGGTTAGGGTGCAGGGGTTTAAGGTTTGGGGCTCACTGTTTATATGGTCACTTGTTTTTAGCCTTCTACATAGTACTGTACTAGCATATATGCCAAGATTGAGCTTCTTGAGGCCTCTATGCTAGATACCGAGGTACAACGGCCCATCTTCATCTTTCAGTCCAGCGCCCTCTCCTTCTGCCTTCTGCAGGTTTTCACCCCCTTGGTGCACTCGCGAGGGTCCTATAACGGTTTGATACGACTTTTCGATATGTTTCTCTGAGTGCTACCAAGGTAGTCAAAGGTATATAGAGGCCTTAACGTGTGCTCCACTGCGCCGCCGAAGCGCATGCCCCACACACTACAAACGCTAAACCGCGACTTACCCCAAATGTGAGGTCGTCTGCACTGCAGAGAAGGAAGCACCGGAAGATGGTGAGGAGCTCTGAGCGGCCCCCAGGTGTCTTTGGTTTTTGGGCTCCGGCTACTTAAGTGGGAAATTCTCGAAACTCCTTGCGGTACGCCGAGCGAGTGTTGAAAGGCTAGGAACCCTAAACCTTAAACCCTAAGCCCTTAAGCCCCCCAAAACCCCCAAAACCCTAAACCGTTGCCGGCCTCGCGGCTTCCGGCTTGACCTGAGCCAAACCACATCTGAAAGCCGAGACCGTGACCAGTTTTGGTGTGATTCCGACCATGGTGGTCCCTGCCAGCATGAGACACGTGGGTGGCTGTCAAAATTAGGGTCCCTTTTTGGGTCCTTATTATAATACGGCACCTAATATTTAGGGTACCCCAAAAGGGACCCTAATTTTGACAACCACCCACGTGTTTAGGGTTTAGGGTCCACAGCTTAGTGCAAAGCTGCCTGGTTTAAGCCGAAGATAAAGCCATCCGTGTGGTTGATGGCGACGAAGAGGCGTCACAAGAAAATGCAGCGGCATCATTCCAAGGTCATGCAAGACACGGTCCACAATTGGGACAAATATGTGTCCGCAGCAGCTTTAAGCTGCAAGTGTTCAAGATTCATTGCAACCTTTCTCTCCACCCTCAGACCTCGTAAATCCGAATTCTGAACATAAGTGCCTGCGTACCCAGCAATGCTATGCCTCAGGGCTCCCCAGTATGAGCCCTCAACTCCTCCTAATACTATTTGGGGGGGAGGGCTCCTTATATAATTATAGTAGAATATACCCCCAAACCCTATTCTAATATTGGGCCCCTATGTATATAGAACCCTACTATAGATCCCTTATAGAGCCCTTTAAAGGAACCCCAACACCCTATTCTAATTATTCTAATTATGAAGGCCCCTATATTAAACCCGAAGTGCTCCCAACTTGACTTGCGGTTTTCGTTGAAGACGCCGGGAGTAGCCGGCATTGGGAAATGGAGATGCCGCTGCTAGTAAGGTTTGGATGTTGCGGCCTCCGGGGTTGTCGGGTTTAGGTGCTAAGGGCCTTGGGGTGTAAGGGTTTTAGGGCTTCGGGGTT